AACTTCCGAAATAGCCGAAGTCGTCTGGCCACTTGGTGTTCTCCAACAACAGGCCGGCCACAAACTCAAATCGACCACATTGCCATCAGTTACCGATGGCGCGGATCCATAACCAATTGCCGGTCGTTTTGGAACACATTTGTGGACTCTGACCACGCGCTCGTCCGGAGCCGCTTCACCCTACGTTTCCCGGGGTCGCGTAAGGTGCGGACAAATCGCATGGCAACTGAAAGACTGGCAGATCCGGATGTCAGACGAACTTGCATGAACCGCTGCCTTGCGGTTAGGCTTTTGGACCAAATGCTTTGGTTGAGGACCCTAATTGTCCTCCTGTCCAGGTGTGGGCGCCCTGGCAAAATCCCAGCCCTCGTACAACCATGAACTGCACATATACAAATACGACAGCGAAGCATCGTTGTTGAACACCGATGTCATGCTATCGATGATGATATGATGAAGTTAAAAAGTCTGCAACTGATCGATAACACTCGGTTTTATAGTTTTCGACCACAAATTCACCAACTACCGAAATTCTATGGGACCAGTTAGTTTCAATCAAATTGTGAAATTGCATGCACCAAAGTGACTCGGATATTTGTTTTTTCTGTAGGTTACTTTTCAGTGCTGGATATCAGGATGCCATGACAATATCCCAGCCCTCGTATAACCATGACACTTACAACTGACACTATTCTCATGCCACATCGGCCGTTGCGTGGTGCCATTAGCCGGGTCGCCTTACTTGCTGCATACAGCAGGGCGGGTAGGCGAGAACAGGCTACTGCTGATGTCTCCCTTCTTTCTCATCCATATACTTTTTCTTCCCCATCTACCACCTCAATGATAACTCTCCTTGTAGGCCCAGCACTTAGTACTGATGACTCCGTTCGTCATGCATCAGTTTCGCGCGCTACACCTGCTCGTCACATGGTGCCGACATCTTCAGGTATCTCCAACTCAATCTTCAAGCGCCGACACCCAGTCTATATGGCCGCCACCAGGCTTAGTGTATCTGAGACTCAATTAGGAGGTCTACATGGATTTGAATCGGTACGTACGGACAATAGTGAACGGTTGTTTCAGCCGTCTGCTGATAACAGGCTGCTTTTATGAAGTACTGACTTCCGAAATAGCCGAAGTCGTCTGGCTACATGGTGTCCTCCAACTTTGTACCGGCCACAAACTCAAGTAGATCCCGTTTACATTAGCCACCGGACCAACAACCGACTGTCGGTCGTATTGGAATACATTTGTGGATTATGACCATGCACTCGTCCGGAGTCGCTTCTCCCTACGTTTCCATGGGCCGCGTAAGGTGCGAACAAATCGCTTGACAACTGAGAGACTGGCAGATCGGGATGTTAGACGAATTTACCAGAATCGTCTTCTAGAGTCTCTTCCACCATCAGATGTGAACGTACACTGGGACGAGATTTCCACCTCTTTACAGCGTTCTGGGAATTTTGCCTGTGGCACGGTCCAACCAGGCGCACGCAAGCACTGGATATCACACTGAACGGTGGCACTACTTAAATCTCGAAGAGATCCCAGCCGGTCCAGAACAAAATCCGGTGCGAAGAGCTATTAGACGTCAAGTGAAAGTGAGCTTGCGATCTGAACGTGAAGTATGGTGGACACAGAAAGCCAAAGAAATGGAAGAGGCCCAGAAAGCCGGTACTGCCCGGAGATTATTTCAGTTGATCCGTGCGACCGGTCCCCGGAAACCACCTGTGAGTGAAACTATCAAACACCAGAATGGGACGACCATTACGAACAAAGAAGAACGCCTCGACCGATGGGCTGAATACTTCGAACAACAACTGTCGTGGCCACCAGCCGGCACTCATCTAGGGCCCACAAGTGAAGTAGAACCCTGGACGGTGAACGTGGAACCACCTACGGCCTTGGAGGTTTACGACTGCATATGTTTCCTCAAGCGTCACCGAGCTCCCGGTCCGGATGACCTTCCACCCGCACTGTTCAAAGATGGGGGTGAAGTCCTCAGTCAGTGCTTGTCCGATCTGTTTGCTTGCATTTGGGAAAAGGAGTCTGTCCCAGACAACTGGGGGAGTTGGTGATAGTGCCCGTTTTCAAAAAAGGAGCGCGTAGTGAGTGAGGTAACCACAGGAGGATCAGCTTGACCCGGTTGTAACGAGACTGTTGGTGTCAGTTGTCCTTCGTCGCCTTACGGTGGCTCGTGAGATACTGACTCAAGAGCAGCAAGTAGGATTCCGGCCTGCTAGGGGTTGCGTTGACTAAATTTTTACACTCCATCAGGTACTAGAACAACGCCATACGTATAAGCGGCCAATAATTCTAGTGTTCCTGGATTTCCGAGGTGCATTCGACTCGGTTGATCGGTCTGTCCTTCTTGACACCTTGCCCACCAAGGAATGTCCCGGAAGTTTGTCAACATAATACATTCTTTGTATTTTCAGATTTCCTGACGTGTGAGACTATACGGAAAGCTCTGCAAAACCTTCCGTACACCAATTGATATCCGTCAGGGGTGCCTACTCTTCCATTCCTTTTTAACAAGGACGCTAGAGGGTATCCAAAACCCTGGTGTTCAAACAGCCTGTGAAGAAAACCTTGTCGATCTGGAGTATGCAGAAGACATCATTCTCATCTTCGAAGAGGAGGAGAAGGCGCAGGTGTTTTTGTATGAACTGACCAAAGTCATCCCGTCCTTTGATATGCACTTTGCATCCACAAAGTGTACGGTCATGCTCGTGGACTTGCAATCATTGAACGCGCCACTTACATGCAACGGGTACTTTCATTAATGAATGTGTGCAGCACCAAAAGCTGCGTTGGTTGGGACATGTGCTGCACATACCTAGCCATCGTTTGCCGAAGAGAGTGCTGTTTTCCATGCCCAACTCAAAGTGGTGTAAGCAAAGAGGTGGCCAACCCTTGACTTAGCAGAGGGGTATGGGGGAGAATACGAAACGCTTGTGTGCTGTAGATGTACTCGCCGCGTGATCTCCACTGCGCCTGTTTGGAGACACCACAAGATGGCTGCCAACCAATGTCAGTGGCGTTGTTGTCAGCTTTATTCAGATTGTCTGAGTGAATGTCTGGAGGTGTAGGCACCTCAAAATGATTGTAATAAGCTAGGACAAATTCCCCCGTCTACCTCTATTTTTTTCTCTACAATAAGGCTTTCAGATGACTCATGGTTGTACGGCAGTGAAGTATCGGTGTTGATCACTGATGTCATGCTGTCGATGATAATGATGATGATGATGGTTCATCCACCCAGATGATGCAACTTTATGCTCCATTCTCAACGCATGCACACCTGTCTTCCTGGACGGCATGCCTTCTGACCGGAATGTCCAAAGTCCTTAGTTTAGGCGTGCGCTCCGGCTAGAAATTTTAACACCGACCACTACCAAACAATAAGGGTGCAGTAGCTAGGTTGCAGTTTTCCGTATATGTATGGTTCACTTAAAAGAGTCATCCACACTTCCAAAGCACTCTCCGCAGCCACCGCCTAACTGAATGTGTTCACGTATTTGAAGTGGCTCATTGGTGACATTCTCTGACGTGATCGCAAACACCAGTTACTCAACACATCCACCCTGGTGAGAAAACGCGCTGAATCCGCTGAAAAAAGCTCTGAAGGACTCACAACAAATTCTGAAGGACATAGGGTTGAATTAAAGCAGGAGTGTCCTGATTCCTGATATACCCAGACACTCGTCTTTTAAGCCTCGAATACGGAGCCAGCTCTATAACAGTCCATTACAAACTTCCCTCAGGACCGACAACCCTAAGCTGGATCTGAGCTGGTGTCGGATTCACAGCGTTCATTCTTAATGTCATCACGATAAACTTTTGGAATTTTACTATGAAAATGTGGTGTGTTCCAGTTGTTCAAACGTTTTCATTCCCATCAACATCCCGAAAAAAGATGCTAGTGGGGTAAGGAATCTAAGTATGCACAAGAGTTCGGCGTCGACTCCAGGTATGCGGTTGCCCTTATAGCTGAACGTCAATCCGTTTGGTCGTACTTGGAGGGTGCCATTTTTATATTTGTATATTTTCCTTTCACTACCAGTTCACCACCTGGTGTTTCATTTTCAGTTGGTTGTGCCGTGCACTGTGAATTAAACCCGAACTTCAACAAGCGTTATTTTGGTAATACTTCCAGGATGGAGTTCCATCCAACAGCTCCGGTTTGTTTGCTTGCTTTGGTTCCTCTAACCAGCGACTAGGGTTCCCCAAACCTGCGACTGGAAGGACAAATAATGGACCAGGAAAATGCGGCGTTTGATAACGAAAGTCTAAAGCTTCTCAATGAGCCCATCCGTGATACTGTCGTATGTTTTCCTACGTGTCTTTTCGTCATAACAATTTTCAGATGAGATCTCTCAAGGGTGTCGGTACAAAGTTTAGTCACGTATTATTCCCCCGAAAGGGTCAGGAACTTTTGAAAGAATGTGAGTGTTTCAACCCTCAGTTCATATAATCGACTTTCTAGGGGACCTTTGGGGACCACTTACTTTGTGTTTAATAATGTCCGTGTAAGTCTTCGTGCGTTTTCTCTTTTCTAAACAGCTATCCCACTCGTTATATTATTCGGAGTTATATTATTCTGAGTGTGGATTAGTGAAGGCTCATTCTAAACTACACAATCATACGTGTCCTACAGGGGAAACTGAAATTCCTTTTTTCCGGTGACAGCACATCAAATTTGAGTCAGCTTTCTGGTTGTCCACCGCTCCAGATAATTATAAACTTTTTGTTGGAATCTGAGCGTGGGCTTACGTTGATTTCATATATTCTGATGATTTATGGTGTCAACAAGAAAAATGCAGAAAGTAGCGCGGTGCCTTTCACTGGGGGTTGTTTGCCCCTAGTTTTCAAGCCTTGCAGTTGAAGCAATGGGCCGAGCGCCAACCCTCCTTAAACATTCTAGCGCAATAGGAAATGAATCAGTGACTGACTGCTCAACGATGGCTGTATAGGCAAGTCAAGCTGATAGCGACTCAGTCCATAGCTGACTTGCGCCGAAAGATTGTTATTGGTTTGGCATCGGTTTATTCAATGTTACGGATTTTCTAAGTCATTGATTTTGCAAATCGCGCGATGAACGCTTCCCTATCGGGCAGAAGTTCATGTACGTTGATATCAACATTCAGGTCGTTTAACCGAACTAGACAGAATGATCTCCATGAAATATCGCCCAAGTAATTAGAGTTGATTTTAAGAACTTTGGAGAATTGTACGAAAATTGCGTGTCTGTATGTCCGTAGTATGGTAAGGACATCCCGAAGCATCAAAGTCGCCGGTTGGATCGATCAGTGAGAAGAAATACAGGTGGTTCTTTAGGGTGGATATGGTAAAATTCCTCATTTTTATGACATTTTATGGAGATCCTCGCTGATCACCCGCAACACTGCATGTATGAGTTTCAGAAACACGATGCAAGAGTTAAGTGTAGTGCCAATGTGGTCAATGATTAAAGAGCATGAACGACGTCTTTGACTCCGATTAGACTGTATGTAGTACCGAGACGAAGGTTATCTTTTGTAGTGGTGCGTCCGAGCCGCATAGAATTCCGAAGGAACAGTACGTCTGGCGAGGGACTTACTTGTTGGCCATAGGAGGAACTAGGTACTCGCATTGGTCCGGGGATTTCTCCGATCAGCGGCGTTCAGTTCCAGCACAGGACAACCAGGGAAGTTTAGATGACTGTTAGCTATTTTATGTCACACAACCGCGGGGTAACTTCAGTAAATTGGGTCCATTGTGGTTAACTTGGTGCGCGTTATCGAATTTGGGAGACCACGGAATTGGTTGTTCTGTTATCGAAATATATGTCGAAGAGACAATCAGTAGGCGCAAAAATACTTCTTTTTTGCTATCGAATTCCACCATTGGAGAGTGTTGTCTCGTTACAATCTTGCGACGTAGGCCTGTAGCCTGTAGTCAAATCAACACGATAATCATCCACATCATTGTCAGCCGTAAGAACCGCGTACTTGCCATACAGTGGTTGTAGCTGCCACAGTTTCGTCCACCGATGATTTGGGGAGGTGGGGTAGGTAGCTGCGCATCAGAGGCGGGAGCTGATAAACTGGTGTGTCAGTGGACTTTTAATTGGGGGGAGTTGGGAAGAGAGCTATGCACTGAAGGCAGTAGCTTAGATGCACGAGCGCCATTTAGGGCTTGACTGGGCCATGTCTGACAATGTCTCTAACCATTGATATGGCCCGTCTCCGGGTACCCATCCAGCTAGATGGCAATGACCGGCGGAGCTGAGTTTGCTGCTAATGGCCCCTATACTTCGCTGCCAAGTTATTGTTTGACCGTTTCTGGCTCGTTTCCACCCTTCACGTGGTTGTGCGAAAAGAGCCCTTCGAGGAAGTCGACCAACTGGAGCACATGGCCAAACTAGTGCAACTCGTGGAGTGTGATCAGTTCATCTCTCATGGGCGAGTTGTTTCTTCCGAATACCATTCGACTTACTTCAGCATTGCTGATTCACTTTCCCCATCAGACTCGGGCAATGCTCTGAAGACATCGATGGTCAACCACTGGAATTGTTGAAGTCCTCGGCGCGCAGCGGCCAGGTTTCTGATCCGTATAGTAATATAGAGCGTACCATAGCATTGTGAACTCGACCCTTGACGGTTAAGTGGATGTCACGCCGCAGGTGACGAAGCTCCATATAAGCTGCTCTGGAATTCGCTATCCGGATGGAAATATAATCTTTCTCTAGACTACCGGGACTGATAAAGCTGCCCAGGCAAACGAACTTGTCTACTTCCTCGAGCGGCTCATCCGAAATCATGAGGCTAGGGTTTGAGCCTACCCAGTCCTGCAGCAGTAATTCACCCTTCACAGGTGTGCAGCGAATGCCAAACCGTCACGTAGAATTATTTAGATTCTTCAATATTACTTGCATTACCACCGCATCAGATCCCAGAAGAGCTATGTTGTCTGCGTAATTGGTATCTGTGAGTGGACATCCCGAGAAAACTTCGACCTCATAGGCATTAGAGGCTGATAGTGAGTCCTTCAAAATCGTATCAATGGTGAAGTTGAAGATGAAAGGCGGAAGGGGCCATCCCTGCCTGACACCACTTGATGTGACGAACTGAGGCTAGAGCTTCCCGTGAACCTTCACACGGCCACAGATGTTGATGTTCAGTGCCCTAAGGAGGGTCGAGAATTTATGGGGGATATTTTTGCTCCACAGACTGCCATAGTGCTTGACGTTCCACGGAGTCAAAGACAGCTTTCAAGTCAAGTCCCCTGATGGAGACCCCGAGAAGGGACATATCAATGACTAGAGATATGGTGAAACATGGACCAGTCACGCCTCAATAGCCCTCATGCATCCGGCGAGAAAACCTGTCGTAATTATAACTAGTGTACGGCAAGTGCGCAGTTTTTCAGCTGAAGATGGTGATGCTGAAATTTTATCACTGTGGTGCATCACATCTCCATAGTTTCAAACGTGGCGTGTGACTTAGTGATGGTCATGGCTTAACTTGATGATTCAACCCCTGCATCACAATCGTACCAAAACAGGCACTTCAGCGGAAGTTTACTGTGAATTTGTTTTATTCGTGCTACTTGGTCCTGTGTTGCATTAGATATTCCAAGTGAAATCGCGAAATGGAATAGTTTTACGGTAACCGGGGAGACTGAAGTGCCTTGGGATTGACCGATAATAGACTTCGAGTTTAGAGCTACTTTCCATTTCTTCACGCCTCTGCTTTGAATAACCTAGAATTGTGAGCTATTTTGACTGGTTGTTGTCACAACTAAAGTGCACCGGAGTTTGCCCAAAGTGTGCTTATCACCAATAGACGATTCTCCATAGAAACGATTTGTGGAGCTATCTGACGTTGATCCTTCTACCGAGATTTTTTGCTCGAACGCCTCTGACCGCTTACTGTTCCCTGACCGTCCTAATTCAGGCCGTTTGCAGTGGTTGTTGTATTAAACCATCTAGGGAGAGTGTAACCATACTACGATGTACTCTTCTTCTTCTATTACGGTTTACTTGTTCCATTTCTTCCGTCGTTGTCATATTTAGCTTACTTCATAGCGGATCGGCTGCAGATTCCGCGGGTGATGGAGGTCCCGAGTTCGCCCAGATATTCGTCATCTTCTGGCTAGGAGCCACTGTGGTTACCGTTAACTCCAAATTGCTTGGAGGTTCTATGTAAGCAAATAGCTTATTCACTATGCTTCAAGGTTATGAGAATTTTTCAAACATATCAGGCCAAAGAGTGTGGTTCCCTATAAATTGACCCAATGATCGTGTGTACCAATTTTAACGTATCGCGCTTGGTGTGAGACTGTGTGACCCACTCCAGGGCTGTTGATGGTATCCACAACGATATGCAAGAAGACCTTTGATTTTTGAACTTCTCTTGCAAGTCGCACGTGCGATATGAGGTGACTTTCCGTTATGTGGCCAAGAATGGAAAGTTGCTGACCAGTGTCCGACTGTAAACGAAATTATACATTGAATTTCGCCTTGGTAGGCTAGCCTCCTCATCTTGGCTTTGAAGCTCCGTCCCTGGTGGAAATACGCAATCTTGGTTCAAACACCTACTCACCTGTCTCCTCTTTATTCGTGTGCATGGCTTCCGCTCGTTTCACGCTCATTCGTCATTACTGATTCTTTCCATGTCCATTAGGTGGGTGAAAAACTTTCGCGAATTCAGTATGGACACGTTCCAAAGGATGGAAAAGGCTGATCACAAGACTCATCTGTATATTAGATTGGGGCGGATTCAGTTGGAAATCACTAAAACTCCTCATTCATAGTGTTCTTCACTTAAATGTGCTGCAAATGGACCGCTCCCTGTTTTGTATTCGAGATGTCAACTCATGTTCCTGTATCGCTCGTTAGGTTGGTGTAAAGGTATACACAATCCACTATGGGTTTTGCCCCTCTTCTGGCTCATCAGGTAAGCATAGTCCCCGAAGTTTCATTAAGCCTATTACTTAGTTGAACACCTTATCGGTTGCCATGATCACCTTCTCACAAATTAAGTTGGTGTTGACCGTGGACTCAGGTGAAAATCAACTGAGTCTCGTTTGTATCTGTATTATGTTTGCAGTTCAGTCAGCTGTAGAAGTGCAGGCGGGATTCATCCGAGTCACTTGTCAACACCGATGTAATTCACAGATGACGTTCCAGTTGATGTTCAGGTTAGGAATAAGCTTGATAGAACATCGGAAACAAGGCCTAACTGATACAACCCCCAAAAGTGCTTCTTTTATATCCTACCAGTTACCTGGGGCGTTTAGTACGAATGACCCCCATGGGCATTTCCAATCTGCTTAAGGACAATCTGAAGGACAACAACAGCAGTCAGTTTTTTGTAGCTTGGCAACGTTCGCATTGGTGTCATCATAGTAAACATACATAATAGTACACTAATCGTAATTGCTGCTGTTATGCAACGGGCCTTATACGAAATATTATGGAAAATGCAGTCGCTAGGTATCAATGTATTACATCCTCCAAACGCTTGGACTGGTTCATTTGAACCAATAGGTGGACGTTCTAGTGAGGCAACCGGCATTCACATGCAGTATAGAAGTGCTTTTGGTTCGACCAGAAAATCTAGGCGGGTGGTCATTTTTCGGAGGGAGAGGCAATTATTAATTTCCAACAGCATTCAGTCTGTGAATTGTGTGCCCTGTTGTCAATAGGTTGTTACAAAAACTTGGGGATGGTGCTTCTTGATGGCGTTTCATTTTTACCGTTTGTATGGGCGTGAAAGATGGGATGCGGACGTCATCAACTGATTGTGGACTACTGACGACAGACGTTTATGAGTGTCCAGCTGGAACTGTTCAGTCCAATTGTCGCACCTGACTCTGTAGGTGGTAGCATTTTTGTTAAAGCTTAAGTCGAGTTTTGTGAAGGAGCTGGATGAACACCAGTGGCGGAAAAGCATGCATGTGGGTTTCATCTAGACCTAAATGTAGACACAACCGTGATGGTCATCCTTGTGGGCGTGGCGCCTAGCTTTGCTAACTTGGGATTATATACAACACGTCTACTGCTGGTCTCTTTCCCTCACAGTTCGTTCCTTCAGACGGTGTGTATTTTGGGCTATTGCATCCTGCCGTTGGTAATCAGTCTGGTCGTCTGTCGCGTCCTCTTACTGGCCGCTTCCGATTCCCTGTGGATTTTTGTCATACGCCTATCGATTGTCGCATTCGGACTAATCTACTCTTCGTTCGCTTCGTTTGTGTTCCTCACTCCGACGCAGCCACCGAATCGCGTTGGATTGGCTCTCTACCCGATTTGTCTGTTTTACTTCTTTCTCGCTTGGCTTGTGATATCCGTACCCAGCAGTTAAGCCCCTGAACCTTCATGTTTCCGTCCAGTGAGTAATAACTGCGTCACAATCGACTTCCAGTTCACTGCAACTGCACGTTTTCGCCCCCGAATGTCCGAATGCTATCGCGTAGGTGCGTACAAGTGGACAAACCTATCTCCCCAACCCGTGACCCTTGAGACCTGTGATATTGGTTGTGTTACCTTTCTCATTATACGAATGTTTTGTTCACTATCGTGATGTTCTCTGGTGAGTAAAATTGTCCTGAAAATACAGTGACTTTCTCAATTCCTTGTCTTCCCACATGTCCACAAATGTGATCGTTACGCAGCTGTTTTCTATAGTTTGTATCCCCGCAAAAGTTTACAACTTGTCCAGTGAAGCTTCCTAATCTGCATGACTGCTAGGAATACTGACCCTTTATTCGAGAACTCCTACTTTGTTTACACTATGTCATGGTTCAAATAATCTGCTAAAATTGGTTTGATGCTTCGTGGTTTCCCATCACCTGTAAGCCCAGCATGAGCTGGGCAAATTTGCGTTCGATAGCTACAATAACGAACCTCAGCATGATCATCATCACTGCAATAGCGAATGGCCCTTTTTTGATTTGCACAGCGCTCACCACGCGGAAGATGTCCAAGCTGAAGCCATGATGGTCTGTTAGTTGTTCGCAGTATGATTGAGGGTCAGATTTACTGAAAAATGGTAGGTTGACGGAGACAACCGCGTCGTTTTCCGTCGTTTTGAAAGACTTAAACCGAGTGTCCGACGTATATGAAACTGTCTTCACCTCTTATGTAACTTTCTGGGCCTTCCACTCTTTAAGCTATCGTATCTCTTATTTAGATCATGTCATAATATCCATGCCAGAGTGAGATCAACTTTCATGACGCATGACCACGCCAACATTGCTCCGGACTTCACCATCCAGCGAAGCCGAACTATGATGGAGTTGAGAAACGAGCAACGCAGGGACTCCAGAATTATCTATGCGGGCAGTATTCAGCTAAATATGTTGCACACAAGCCGTTTCGTGTTTCAGCTGGAACGACACTCAATGTTTTTTCACTTGATATAACACTACCCTTAGGGTTGATGAAAACTCTGGACAGCCCACTACCAAGTTTGTCCATTTTGGGGCTCATCATGTAAACTTAGTTCCATACTTCGTATCAACCTTATTTCGCGCTTGAATGTATGTGAACGCTCACTCGTGAATTCAATTCCAATTACGGAATAGGATTGACGAAAAGTCAGAGAGTAGTTCAACGTGATGAACATCAAGCAGGTCGAAACGGGCAGTGGGCTGTCCGGAGTTCTCACTTCAAGACAGCTTGTCTTACCGAAACACATTTCGTAAAAGACAATCCTCAGTTCGAAGCAGTCATTTCTGAGGAACAATTCAATCAATCAATTTATCAGCTATGTAACACAGGCATATTGGTTCCAGCTGCTACAGTTTCGATCACCAGAAAACGGGACACTGTGGGACATAAAACCAAGCCTTGGAAGCGATGGCATGTTCAGTTAGTTCAGGAATCGGGTAGCGAAAGCTTTGATGCACGAACGCCACTGCGCGATTGGGCCACTTCTCCCAGTGTGAAATGAGTCCCGTGGTCCCCATCCAAGGAGGCGGCAGTTGCTGACCCGACTAAGCAAAAACAGATAATTGTCCAACGCTCGTCGACCAGAACACTCCATCAGTTCTGAATTAAAAGGTCCTTGTTCTTTGGACCGTGTAAGTTTTGAAGATACTGTAGATCAGAAGACGTATTGTTAGAGTAACCTGAAGATATGAACTTGTTTGTGTCAAATTAGCTTAAGCCATCAGTGGATAACACAAAAGGGTTTGGGTGGGTGGATCAGCTACCGGCGGCAATAATGAGTGATTCAGTTGAGATCCTGACGATAATTTTGAGTCTAGTGTTATTCTGGCTAGTGAGGTGCTGTCTTTTCCGGTCGTCGTATCGTTTGCACAACAACAACAGAATGAAATGTACAACCTGTTCTGTCTGAGGGCTTATTTTTTCACCGAGGTCTGAATTGAGCAAAGGACTGGTTGTAAACAAAGAACGCAAGGTTGATGCTGGAAAAATGAGTTGTCAGAATCGACTGACTGTTCTTTCGACAGGTATACTCAATAAGATTGGCTTCGTTTGGACGGACAAGCTGTATAGGGCGTTGAGACATTCTCGACCATAAGCCTGCTTGGATAGCTGTCAGCTATGGGCACATTAGCGATACGTTTAAATTCATTGTCCAGGGTGTCCTCACAACAGATTCTTCTCTCTCTATCCGTCAAAATGCTGCATCAGCAGCACAAAACAATGAAAGCCTGTGTATCGTCCCATTCACATGGGGCGTTTGGAGACAAACCTTTAAACTGAACCCGTGGGGAATCTAGCCGATTTAACGCCTAACAGGTGGACTGTATTGTTACTTTCGGCTTCATATGTGAGTTGAATGGCAAAATGTGCTTTGTGAAAATTGTTTAGGTGTCCACTCATTTGCAAACTAATTTGGTTTTTCGAGAGGCCCACCTGAAACCCAGCTGAATCTCTCGTATGTGATGTTTCCAGGCAACTGGATGTGCTGCACCAGGCCGCCTCATGTTTCAGTCTCTACGATATTCGAGATATCGCGATACATGTTTATTCTTAATGCCTGGAAACACCACAAACGAGAGACTCAGCTGGGTTCCAAGTGAGTCTCTCGAAAAACCAAATTAGTTTGAAAATGAGTGCATTTCGCTCATTTCGTACAACATGGTTTCAAGTAGAACATAAGGTTGACGGAAACTCGGGGACTGCGCCTACCTGATGAGCCCCAGGAAGGGCAAAACCGGTCGTGGGCTGTCGACGAATTTTCAGCAACCTTACGAGCAGTGTCTGTTTTGGAGGCGTTTGACCGAAGCTCAGACACATCTACGTGTCGTCTATAAAAAGTATGCCTAATCTCCCGATTCCATTCCTCAAGTTTAAATTTGCTCAGCAGTGGACCAAGAGAAGACAGCTCCGTCGATTCGTCGATAAAATGTCAAGTTAGATTGAATTGTACAGCAAAAGTGCGGCCTAAAAGTTGTTCCTTCACAAAGACATTGCAGATTAGGAGCGCTGAATCCACTGAATCAATATAGTTACCAAATTCATAGTTTTCACGAAGAGCAGAGAGGCCGATTCGAAGGAACACACAAGTCTATTATCAGCTTCAATACTTTAGCTGCCATTGAACTTGTATTGACATAGCATTTGACGTACAGATTCAGAAATTCCAACCAATCATTAGGCAATAGTAAATTGCACAAATCCAAAATGGGCCCTGATGGGATGTCTTCCAAACTTTGAGCAGGCCGTTAATTCGCGGGATCGCAGTACCAATGGGTTAAGAATCCTTGTCCGTTAGAATTGTTCCCTGTCCTTTGTCAGATTTTGGTAACATTTTTTCCTTTCACATTCATAGGGCTTTTAGAGCATCCAGATTCTTTGTAAGAAGGCACTCATGAAGCGTCTCAACGTGACTGTACTGATAAAAGCAATTGATCAGACCGCATTTGTATCCATCTAAGTTGGCAGTTGAGGTCGGGACCCACTCAGAAGTCCGATCGAATAGACAGTTTTATCGGGAGGGGACCTGGACCAACGTGTTTTTTAACAATATTTTTACATAAGATTTGAATGTCTGACGTTCAGTATTAGAATGATCCCGTACAGAGATGAGCTCCACGGTGATGGAATGCTATGAGAGCGTTGTCTCTAAAATACGAAGGCCAATTTAAACTTAAAGGTGGTCACGCTTTCCAGTGGGACCGGCGATAGCAATTAAATGTTAACAGCTGGTCTGGAGGTCGCAGAACGTATCACAATTACACTGAAGAGAGCAGCACAGAATTAGCCAAGGGCATTAGTTGCTTCGGGTTGTCTATCTTATTGTTAGTTGGTTAGCACAGCTAGTCGTTGAGCATAACTCCCGACAGGAGCAGAGTTTTTTAAGTGCAGTTTTGGAAAAGGAGGGACTAGACACTTCAGCCGACCGTCAGTACGAACATCGAGGAAGCCTGCACACGGAGTCATAAAAATGCGCAACCGATTGACTACTCATGAGTAGCCTAGTGCAGATGCGTTCAAACAGCCCCCGCTGTGAGTTAAGTGTAACCGCACCGCCACATTCATTAATTTATCGATCTTATCCTTAGTGTGCTGACTATGTTAACTGGACAAGTAGGTCACCAAAGTGTTCCCACAGTTCTGAGTCTCTTCGTATACTTGGTAGTGCGCCTCTGAAGCGAGTTCCGGTCCATACCAGCGCTACTGACGCTGGGAGCGTTAAAAAGGGAAGACGTCGTTCGGCTCATTCTTTTGTTTGTTCATATCAAATGGTACTACACTGCTTTCCCGCGATAGAGGACTTTGGATAATGAGGATTTTGGCGACACGGGATGTTTCTCAATGTTATCCTCTTTGATGACCCAAATGGCTCTAAAATGATCGGTTCACAATGTACAATTCTTGTTCCATCGGCATTTCAGCTCGTTTGTCACGATAAACGACCAATAGCATAGATCCAGCCCGCAAAGCACTATCTGAAGACACCATTCTGTTTTGCAGTTTTTAGACACCGTAATAGTTAGGCCACTGATGAAACCTCGATTATGACTCCATGGGACTTGAACTCAGTAAAATCAACTTATCGTAAATACCGAGCTCCAAAGGTACTAAATGACATTAGAAACACTCGAAGCAGACGACTGAAATCATCATGTGGTCAAAAATGGAGTAGAATTTTTTAGTTAGTCCATCCATTCCAAATGATGGATGGACAAACAAATGGATTTTTTTGTCCTCGGGTTTAAGCTAAAAAAAGCCCACGCAGATCGCAACTAAATCTGGAGTGACTTACAAGAAAGCCTTAATTTCTGAGTGGAAGTAAAGTGCTTTTGCCCGGAACACCTAAATTCTTATATAAATTCTTGCGTAACCGAGTTGGAAGAAAGTCTGACCGATAAATGGAGGTGTAAATGAGACCTGAATAACAAAGTTGTGGTGGATGTCAGAACACTCGTTCATACGACAAGCTTTGCTTTCCAACCCATCCAACATTTGATAGGATGGAGGAATCAATGTATTCGTCTTTTGCTCACTTGTCCAATCATGTTTGGTGATGCTCACACGTTGCGTTCCAGATTCACTTTTGCCCTGACAGGAAAGTCGTCAGCATTTCCCTCTCGAATAGCCCTACTTCCCACCAAAGTGAACTTTTTCACTGGATACCTCTACGCTCTATCAAATGCCCTGATTAACCTTTCCATCTG